AGTTCTGACCCATAGCGACCATGTAAAGGGTTTCCGTGGAGCAGCTAGTTAGCTTGGACCACCAACCATGCTGCTCAAACTGACTTTGCAGTCCAGAGCATTAAGCCCCAGCAGCAAAACAGGAAATATAGTTGTTAGTATTGTTAAGTGCAGTTGATTCAGTTCTGACTCATAGCAACCTTGTCTAGGGTTTCCAAAGAGCGGCTGGTGAGATTGAACCACTGGCCTTTCAGTTCAAACTGACTCTGCAGTCGAGCGCATTAACCCACAGTGCCAGACCAGGACTTGGAAATACAGTTGCTGTTGTTGTTAAATGCTGTCGACTCGGATCCAACTCATAGCAACCCTGTATAAGGTTTCTGAGGAGCGGCTGGTGAGTTTGAACACTCGAACTTGTGGTTCAAACCAAACTTGTAGTCCAGCGCACACCAGGACTTCTGGAAATACAGATGTTGTTGTTATTGGTAAGTGCCGTCGAGTTCATTCTGACCCATAGCAACCCTGCACAGGGTTTCCAAGGAGCAGCTGGTGAGCTTGAACCACCGACCTTGCAGTTCAAACGACTTTGCGGTCTAACGCATTAGCCCACAGTGCCACACCAGGAAATATAGATGTTGTTGTTGAGGGCTGTTGAGTCAGTTCCGACCCATAGCGACCCTGTACAGGGTTTCTGAGGAGCAGCTGGTGAGTTTGAACCACTGACCTTGCAGTTCAAAGGGCTTTGCAGTCTGGCATATTAACCCACAGCACCACACCAGTAGCCCCTTATTTGTGATTTTACTTTATGCGATTTCAGTAACCCATGGACAATCATGGTCCCAAACAATTTAAACTGTGCGCCAATCTGAATTGTTGTTGTTGTTGTTGTTAGATGCCATCGAGTCGATACCGACTCATAGTGACCCTATGCACAACAGAACAAAACACTGCCTACTTCTGCACCATCTTCACGATCGCTGCTACACCTGAGCTCATTGCTGCTGCCACTGTGCCAATCCATCTTGTTGGGGGTCTTTCTCTTTTTCCTGACTCTCTTCCACCTTACGAAATATGATATCCTTCTCCAGGGACTGGTCTCTCCTGACACTACGTCAGAAGTATAAGAAACAAAGTCTGGCCTTCGAGGCTTCCAAGGAGCACTTTGGCTGGCTGTACTTCTTCCAACACAGAGCTGTTTGTTCTTTTCAATATTCTCCTCCAACACCATAACTCAAATGCATCAATTCTTCTACGGTCTTCCTCATTCACTGTCCAGCTTTTACTTGCATATGAGGTTATTGAAAATACCATGGCTTGGGTCAGGCGCACCTTAGTCCTCAAGTTGACATTTTTGCTTTTCAACACCTTAAAAAGGTTTTGTGCAGAAGATTTGCTTAATGCAATACATCATTTGATTTCTTGACTGCTGCTTCCATGAGTGTTGAGAGTTGATCCAAGAAGAATGAAGTCCTTGACAACTTCAATCTTTTCTCCATTTATATGGATGTTGTTTATTGATATAGTGGTGAGGATTTTTGTTTTCTTTACATTGAGTTGAAACCCATACCAAAGGTTGTGGTCTTTGATTTTCATCAGTAAATATTTTAAGTTCTCTTTGCTTTCAGCAAGCAAGATTGTATCATCTACATATTCTTTCTTCAATCCTGATGCCATGTTTTTCTTCATATAATCCAGCTTCTCGGATTATTTGCTCAGTATATAGATTGAATTAATAGGGTGAAAAATATAATCATGACACACACCTTTCCTGATTTTAAACCGTTCAGTGTTCCCTTGTTCTGTCTGAACAATTGCCTCTTGGTCCTCGTGAGCACAATTAAGAGTTCCAGAATGCTCATTCTTCGCACTGTTGTCCGTCCATGGCTTGTTATGATCCACACAATCAAAAGCCTTTGCATAGTCAATAAAGCACAAGTAAACATCTTTCTAGTATTGTCTTCTTTTAGCCAAGATCCATCTGATGTCAACAATGATATCCCTTGTTTTACATTGTCTTCTGAATCTGGCTGGAACCTCTGAAAGTTCTTTGTCAATGTATGGTTGTAGCTGTTTCTGTATTTGTTGTTGTTATGTGCCATGGAATCGGTTCCGACTCATAGCGACCCTGGACAGGGTTTCTGAGGCTGTATTACCTTTGGTAAAATTTTCCTCCCATGGGATATCAATGATATTGTCCAATGATTTCCACATTCCATTGGGTCACCTCTCTTTGGAGTGAGCACAAATACGGATCTCTCTTCCAGTCAGTTGTCCTGGTATCTGTCTTCCAAATTTCTTGGCATAAATGAGTGAGTGCCTCCAGTGCCACATCAGTTTGTTGAAAGATTTCAATTTGTATGCCACCTATTTCAGTGCCCTGTTCTTTGCCAATGCCTTCAATGCACCTTGGACTTTTTCCTTCAGAATCATTGGCTCTGAATCATATGCCACCTTTTGAGATGGTTTAATATCAACCATTTTCTTTTGGTACAGTGACTCTGTGTATTCCTTCCATCTTCTTTTGATGCTTTCTGCATCGTTCAGTATTTTGCCCAGAGAATCCTTAAACATTTCAAGTAGGGGCTTGAATTTTTTTTTCCAGCTCCCTCAGCTTGAGAAATGCTGAGTGTGTTCTTCCCTTTTGGCTTTCTAACTCCAGGTCTTTGCACATTCTCATTATATTTGACTTTGTCTTCTCGAGATGCCTTTTGAAATTTTTTACTCAGCTCTTGTACTTTCTTATTTCTTCCATTTGCTTTAGCATCTCTATGCTGGAGAGCAAGTTTCAGAGTCTCTTCTGGCATCCATTTTGGTCTTTTCCTTCTTTCTTGTCTTCTTAATACTTTTGCTCTCTTCACGTATGATGTTCTTGATGCCATCCCACAACTCTTCTGGTCTTTGGTCTTTAGCGTTTAATGCATCAAATCTGTTCTTCAGGTGATTTATAAATTCAGATGGGATATGTTTAAGGTCATATTTTGGCTCTCATGGACTTGTTTTCATTGTCTTCAGCCTGAACGTGCATATGAGCAATTGATGGTCTATTCCACAATCTGCCCCTAGCCTTGTGTTGGCTGATGATATGGAATTTTTCTACCGTCTCTTTCCACAGATATAGTCAATTTGATTTCTGTGTTTTCCATCTGGTGAGGTTCATGTGTATAGTTGTCTTTTATGTTGTTTAAAAAAGTTATTTACATGTTTTGATGTATACCCTCCAAAAATAAAAAATTAAGTGGAGAAAAAAAAGGAATTTGCAACGAAGAAGTCACTGTTCTTGCAAAATTCTATCATGAATTTTCAGCATCACTTCTATT